GCTAGTATGTCAAATTTGGTGAAGATCGGTTCAGATATAGCTATAGCTCCCATATATATTTTTCATCCGATTTGTAGTATTTATTACCCACAGCCGTAATATGCACTCCGTAAGAACGATATTCAGGGAAATATATCAAATTAGGCCTGAAAATAAGTATGCCAAATTTGATCGAAATCGCTTCAGATATAACTATAGCTCCCATATATATTGTTCATACGATTTGTTATTTTTGTCCTCCGCAGCCGTAATATGCACTCTGTAACAACGATATTAGGGGAAATATATCAAATGCAGCTCAGAAATACCTATGCTAAATTTTATCGACATCGGTTCAAATTTGGATATAGCTCCCATATATAACTTCGTCCGATTTACCTTTTATTGTACACCAAACGTCTAATATTTCCCCAAATGGGATGGAATTTGGTACATACGACCGAATTGAGTCTAGAAGCTAGTATGCCAAATTTGACGGACATCGCTAGATCGATTCCAAATGTCCTGAAACGGATTTGGTCTAAGGGGACCTAGGGTCTAAAACCGTTATTGAGGCACGTTTTGGCTGTATCAAATGATATATACCCTCTCTAGGCATATGGCTGAGGGCATAAAAATAAAAAAATTATGCTAAGTAGTTTTAATAATTAATGTTACTATATTAGTTATCACCTAATTGTTTCTGTGTTCGGTGAAAACAAATGAATACTAAATAAATAAATAAATTACGCCTGAAAGTATGCTCTGAAAATTATAACGTAAGATTACGAACAAATCAAATAAATATCCAAATTGCTATTTACCAATGGAAATATTACCATTTTCAATAGCAACACTTCTTTTTAGGTCTTCATGGAAGCTATGGAAGTGGGGCTTGATTTTCGGGCTTTGGAAAATATGAAATGAAGAACATTTTTTTAAGAAATTTTTCATTTAAAAATGAGTTCCTGGGGCTAAATTTTTTCTTTTTTTTTTTTTTGAAAGAATTAAATTATAATTTGTATGAATAAAAAAATTGAAGATCAAATGAAATATTTTATAAAAAGAATATCTTTCGCTTCATGTTTTCATAGGACTCTGAACTCAAGTTTCTTACAGAAAATGTTCTTTGAGAGGAGGAATTTTTAAGAATATTTTTCACAGGCCTCCATTTTCAAAAACCTATAAAGTTTAAGAATATTTTTAAGGAGGAATTTTTAAGAATATTTTTCAAAGACTTCCGTTCTCAAAAACCTGAAAAGTTGACGAATATTTTTAAGGAGGATTTTTTAAGAATATTTTTCATAGACCTCCGGAATTTTTAAGAATATTTTTCACAGGCCTCCGTTTTCAAAAACCTATATAGTTTAAGAATATTTTTATGGAGCAATTTTTAAGAATATTTTTCACCGGCCTCCGTTCTCAAAAATCCTAAAAAGTTTAAGAATATTTTTTAGGACCAACGGAATCATATACTTGCATTTTTGGCAGGGAAAATCTCCATGTTTATGATTGGAGAAGTTCTTGAGAAAATATTATTCCTGAAAAATTTATGTTTGTGACCTAAAAAGTCCTTAAAAAATATATTTTGTAAAAATTAACTTTTGTGGCCTTAGAAATCCTTGTAAGTCTCCTTAGAATTGTTTAAGAAAAAAATAATTCTCAAAAAAAATTTAATAAAAAAATTACAGCCTTTCAAATTCTTTTGAAAATATTTTAAAAAAGCCTCATTTTTACTATGGAAGTCCTTGATTTGTTAACTTGTTATTGACCTTCGAAGTCTTTGGAGAAATATTCTTAAAAAATCAACATCAGTTCACTTTTTTGGGCTTAAAAATCCTCGTAAATCTCAGAAACATAATCCTAACAAGTCCACTTTCCGACCTTGGAATTCTTTAAGAACAAAAATTATTGTCAAAAAAATTTTAATAAAAAAATCACAGCCTTTCAAATTCTCTTGTAAGTATTTTTAAAAAGCCTAATTTTTACCATGGAAGTCCTTGATTTTTTTTGGAATTCTTGTTATTGACCTTCGACGTCCTTGGAGTAATATTCTTAAAAAAATCAACATCAGTTCACATTTTTGGCCTTTGAAATCCTCGAAAGTCTCAGAAACATATTTTTAAAAAGTACACTTTTTGACCTTGGAATTCCTTAGAAAAAAATAATTCTCAAAAAAAATATTCCAAAAAAATTCACTTTCAAATTCCTAAGAAAATATTTTTAAAAAGCCACATTTTTTACTATGGAAGTCCTTGATTTTTTTTTCTAAATTCTTGTTATTGACCTTCGAAGTCCTTGGAGAAATATTCTTAAAAAATCAACACGAGTTCCTTTAGAAAATTTTCTTTTTTGTAATTTCAATATTAAGGCTTTAAAAGTATTGAGCGAGTATTTCAAAAAAAAAAATCTTAGAGATAATATATTTAAGAGAACCAATATTGAGGCCTTGAGAAATAAAAGTTTGCCTTGAATACTTGAGAAAATGTTTTTAAAAAAATATTCAGAAAATCCTTGGTGGTCTTGGAAATCTTGGAGAATTTACTTTTAAAGAATCCTTGGAAATGCTTGAAAAATATTCTTAAAAAAATTTGACGTTTGTGTCCTGGGAAGTCCTTCAGAAAATAAATTTAAAGAAATCAAAATTGAGGTCTTGAGAAAAACTATGAAAAATCCTTCAAAATATTGAAAACATATTTAAAAAAATCCCGGAGATAATATATTTAAGAGATCCAATATTGAGGCCTTGAGAAGTACAAGATTGTCCTTAATCCTTGCGAAAATGTCTTTTAAAAAAATATTGAGAAAATCCTAGGTTGTCTTGGAAATCTTTCAGAATTTACTTTTAAAAAATCCTTGGAAATGCTTAAAAATATTCTTACAAAAATTATACGTTTGTGTCCTGGGAAGTACTTCAGATTATAAATTAAAAATATAAAAATTGAGGTTTGAAAAATAAATCTAAAAAATCATTTAAAATCTTGAAATGATATTTTTAAAAATCTTGTGATCCAAATTTGTAGTCCCTTTGCATTCTTTTTAAATGTGTGGAAATCCTTGGGAAAATATTAAAAAAAAAATACGTTTGTGGCTCTGGAAATCCTTGAGAAAATTTAGTTGGAATGGTTACCGATTACTTTTACCATTAATTTTTTGTTTAAAACATTATTTTTGTTGCATAAAATCAGAAAATATTTTAATTTACAGTATTTTTTGAAAAAAAAATGAACATTTTACTTAAATGGTTACCGATTACTTTTCCGAATATATCAGTAATTTGAAGATTTGTGGTTGAAAGCTTTATTTGTGTTCCATAAAATCATAAAATATTTTAATTTGGAGTATTTTAAAAAAAAAAATAATGAACATTTTGTTCAAATGGTTACCGATTACTTTTGCCAATATATCAGTAATTTGAAGATTCGTGGTTAAAAGCTTTATTTGTGTTGCATGAAATCATAAAATATTTTCATTTGGAGTATTTTTTTTTAAATAATGAACATTTTGTTCAAATGGTTACCGATTACTTTTGCCAATATACCATTGAATTGGATAATTTTAGTTTCTAACATTGTTTTTGTTGCATAAATTTAGAAAATATTTTAATTTTGTGTATTTTTTTTTAAATTAATGAACATTTTACTTAAATGGTTACCGATTACTTTTCCCAAAATATCAGTAATTTGAAGATTTGTGATTGAAAGCTTTATTTGTGTTGCATAAAATTAGAAAATATTTTAATTTGGAGTATTAAAAAAAAAAATAATGATCATTTTGTTCAAATGGTTACCGATTACTTTTGCCAATATACCATTGAATTGGATAATTTTAGTTTCTAACATTGGTTTTGTTGCATAAATTTAGAAAATATTTTAATTTGGAGTATTTTTTTTTTTTTAAAAATTAATGAACATTTTACTTAAATGGTTACCGATTACTTTTCCGAATATATCAATAAAATTAAAAATTTTGATTTAAAACTTAATTTGTGTTCCATAAAAGCAGAAAATATTTTAATTTGGATTATTTTTTGAAAAAACAATGAACATTTTACTTGAATGGTTACCGATTACTTTTACCAAATACATCAATAATTTTAACAATTTTTGATTTAAAATATTATTTTTGTTGCATAAAATCGAAAATTGTTTTAATTTAAAGAATTTTTTTTGGAAAAAATTTTGGAAATTCAACAGTTCTTGGGAAGAGATTTATAAAAAAAGGTCCTTAGAAATCCTTCAGAAATATTTTTCAAGAATCCATTGTAGAATCCTTGAAATGCGTGAGAAATATTTTTTTTTTTAAGGAAAGGCCTGCAGCTATGGGAAATTTTCGTGGGCAGCTATCTAAACCTCTTACCTAAGGAGCAGAAGGCAAGAAGAAGTTTTTATCCTTGCACCAAAGGATAATCTTAGGGCTATGATTAATTGGATTTAGAAAAATAATAACTTTTAATATTTTTCTCTCATATCCTTTACTTCTCTCTCTCTCTCTTTCTCTCTCTCTCTCTCCTTCCTTCTCTGTTTGAAATATATGATTCCTAAAACCCCCATTGGAAGATATGTCTTTACACCAAAGGATAATCTTAGGAGTATAATTTTTTGGATTTGAAAAAATAATAATATCTTATATTTCTCTCCCATTTCCTTTTCTCCTCTTTTTATTTCACTCTCTTTTTTTAAAGATCTCCCTATGAAAGTTATGTAATTCGATCTTTAAATTATGGAAATGATTCATTTGAATATTTTTGGCATTGGTAAAATTTTGCAGACACCACAGGGCAATAAACTTCCCCGCGGAACCCAAAACCAATCGGAATATTCAAATCTGAATTGGAAATTCTAGTGGAATAGTAAGTGCCATTTAAAAATCGCCATAAAAAATTAAGGCAAGTTATGGATGGAATTTCATTATTAGATAAGGGGTAATTCAAGGCCCACACAAAAAAAAAAATAATTAAAAATTTCTCTAGACTCTGCAGCAGAAGAAGAAATGCAGCCGAACAAATGTTTGAAGCAGAGCAATTCAAAAAAAACCAGTACAGGGCAGTTATTCCGAACGACAAGAATTCCCAAAAATTTCTTGATATAAATACCAAGAGTGGGAGATCGAAAGACAACAGTTTTACGATTCCAATTGAAAGAACAATGATAAAATTTGTAAGTTCCGCAAAAGAGATCCTCAATATCAAAATATCAAAATCCTTAATCCATATCCTTTCAGCTGATCCTTACTCTCTTCGTTGCCTATGCTGCGGCTGGCGACAGCGATGTCCATGCCGAAGTTAAGGAACTTAAATCCGATGTCCGTGCCGATGGCTTTGACTATGCTCTGGAAACCTCGAATAGCATTCATCAACAGGCATCCGGTGATGAACATGGAAATATGCATGGCTCCTATGAATATGTCTCACCCGAGGGTGAACACGTCCTGGTCTCCTATACGGCCGATGAAAATGGTTATCATCCCGTCAGTGAATATTTGCCAACACCACCACCAATCCCAGACTACATCTTGAAGGCCATCGAATACATTAAGGCTCATCCATCAAAGGAATAAGAGGAGTTTTTAATGGACAACTGAATGGACTTCTGGGAACACTGATCTGGAGGATTATGCAATTTATGAGGCGAGACATATTTAATTCGAATATAGAGATTATTTTGCAGACAAACAAAGAAACAAGAAATCTTTTTTAAATTAATAAATAATTAATGCATTTTGAAAAAAAAAAAATCAAAACAAAAGAGAATTTGTGTATTAGGGTGGACCGCAAAAAAAGTGAAAAGATCTGGAAAATTAAATTTTTTTGGAATTTTTTACAAATTTTTTTCATAAGGGGCCCACAGGACTTTCTAAAGGACTTTTTGATTCACATTTGGTGACACTAACTGGAATTTCTGAGAAAAATATTTTCCAATGTCCTTCAGAACATTATGCGAATTTTTGGGATTTTTTTTTGACAATCTGTGTGGCAGTACAGGTTCTGAACAAAGATTTTAAAAGAGAAATTTCTAAAGGACTTACAGATCCACATTTTGGGAGGAATATATATTTCCAATGCCCTTCAGAACATCATGTGAATTTTAAGAATATTTTTTCGAGAATCTGTGTGGCTATACTGATCTCAAAAAAAAATATTATCCTTAAAAAATTTTCTAAAGGACTCACAGATCCACATTTTGGGAGGAATATATTTCCAATGTCCTTCAGAACATCATGTGAATTTTAAGGGCATTTTTTTGAGAATCTGTATGGCTATACTGATCTAAAAAAAATATTATCCTTAAAATTCACATGTTGTTCTGAAGGACTTTGGAAACATATTTCTCCCAAAATATGGATCTGTAAGTCCTTTAGAAATTTTTTCTTAAAATTATTTTTTCAAGGATCTACGCTTCTAAGGTGGATATAATGAAATTTTTGTAGCCCCATTACGGAATTTTTTTGGAATATTTTTTATTCAAGGATAGCTAAGGGGGGTTTTTAAGAAATTCTGTACAAGATGCTCTAAAGGACTTTAAGGTCCATATTTGGGGATAGAACTGGAATTTTTAAGTAATATATTTCCAATGTCCTGAAGAACATCATGTGCATTTTAAGGAATTTTTTTTTTGATATCCTGTAGAGCCAAAAATACTCTTTCAAGGATGTGCGCTTCTAGCGAGGATTTAATAAAAAAAATTTATAACCCTATTGGGGCAATTTTGGATTATTTTTTTAAGGATTTTTTCATCCATAGGGGGAATTTTAGGGAATTCAAGGGCAAAGACAGACACAAACGGGAATTTTAAAGATTTTTTCAATATAAATTGAAATTCTTCAGAAAATAATTTGTTTAAAAAATTCACATTTGTGTCCAGAGAAATCCCCGATCAATTATTAAAAAATTCCTTGGACATCCATGAGAAAATATTTTTTTAAAAATCCTTATAAATCATTGAGAAAATATCTTTAATATCCCTTGAATATCCTTATTTTATTTTTTAAATCCTTGAGAAAATATTTTTTAGAAATTCAAGAAATTATTTTTAAATAATCCCTGGAAACCCTTGAGAAAATATGTTTTTTTTTTAAATTCACATTTGTGTCCTGAGAAAACCTTGAGAAAAAAATTTTTAAAAATCTTTGGAAATCCTTGAGAAAATATTTTTAAAAAATTCTTAGAAAGCATTGAGAAAATATCTTTAAAAGTCATTGGAAATCCTTGAAAAATATTTTTTTTTAGAAATCAAACATAGAGGATCTGAAAGTTCCTGAGAAATATTTCTTGGAAATCCTTGAAAGAATATTTTTTCAAGCATCCATAGTTGTGTCCTTGAAATCCTTAAGAAATTATTTTTGAATAATTCTTGGAAATCCTTTAGAAATATTTTTTCTTAGAATTCACGCTTGTATCCTGAGTAATCCTTGAGACAAAAGTTTTAAAAAATCCTTGCAAATCCATGAGAGAATATCTTTAAAAATCATTGGAAATACCTAAAAAATATTTTTAAACTATCCTTGGATATCATTGAGAGAATATATTTCAAGAATCCATGTTTGTATCTTTGAATTCCGTGAGAAAATATTTAGAAACAGTCCTTGGAAATCCTTGAGAGTATATATATATTTTTTTAAATTCACATTTGTGATTTGAGAAATAATTGAGCAAATATTAAAAAAAAATCCTTGAGAACATATGCTTAAAAAGTCCTTCGAAATCCATATGAAAATATCTTTAAAATTTTTTGGAAATCCTTAAAAATATATTTTTTTAAAAAATCCTTGGAAATCCTTGAGAAATATTTTGTAGAAATCCTACATTGAGGATCAGAAAATTAATATTATAAAATAAAATATTTATAAAGCGTCCTTGGAAATTCTTGCGAGAATATTTTTCAATAATCAATATTTGTGTCCTTGAAATCCTTGAGAAATTATTTCTGAATAATTCTTGGAAATCCTTGAGAAAATATATTCTTTAGAATTCCTTAGAAATCCTCGAGAAAATATTTAAAAAATGTTGGAAATCCTTGAGAATATTTTTTTTAAAAAAGTCCTTGGAAATCCATCAGAAAATATCTTTAAAAACCCTCGGAAATCCAAAAAAAAATATTTTTAAAAAATCCTTGTGATAAATATCTTTCGAGAATTCATGTTTGTGTCCCTAAAATCCGTGAAAATTTTTTTTTAAAAAAAATTTTAATACTTTTTTTTTAATTCAAGTGTGTGTCCTGAGAAATCCTTGAGAAATTTAAATAAAATCCTTGAGAATTCTTGAAAGAATATTAAAAAAATCTTTTAGGAAATATTTTTAAAAAACCCTTGAAAATCCTTGGAAGTCCTAAAAAAAATATATTTTTAAAATTCCTTGGACATCCTTGAGAAATATTTTTTGGTAATTTTAAGATTGAGGGTCTGCAAGTTCTTGAGAAAATATTTATAGCTAGTCCTTGGAAGTCCTCGAGAGAATATTTTTCAACAACCCATATTTAAACAACAAATTATTTAAAAAAAAAAAAACATCTTTGGAACTCCTTAAGAAAATATGATTTTTAAACATACACGTTAGTGAATTATCCTTGGAAGTCCTTTAAAAGTATTATTCGCGCCTCTTCTGTGGCTCTCAGAGCCTATAAGCAAATACTAAAAAATTCCTAACAATCGTTAAAAAATTAACTTCAAAAAATTTTTAGATGTCCTTAAAAAATTCAAACCAAGGTCCTTGAGAGACAGTTTTAAAATAATTAAAAAATAATTATTAAAAAAACATTCGTGAGTGTCCTTGAGATAAAATTTAAAATATCCTTAAAAAACGTAAGAACGGATGTTTTAGATGTTTTGATGGCCCTAAAATTTCTTAAAAAATGTAAAAAAATCCTTTAAAAAATATTTTTAAGAAAGTCACATTTTAGACCCTGGAAGTCCCTGACAAAATACTCTTAAAAATCACCGCCTGGGGCTCAGAGAGTTCTTTAGACAATATTTAAAAAATTTATACCTTAACATTTCTTAAGAAAACCTTTCGGAGAAATCCACGAGTATTTCTTTGGAGGTCTTTGAAAAATAATTTTAAAAGTCCTGAAAAATCCTTAAAAAAATATCCTAAAAATATTTTGATGTCTTTTAGAAAATATTAAAAACAAATCTTAAATAGTGGCTTTAAAGGTCTTTTAGAAAATATTTTTTTATGAAATTCTGAAAAAAATATTTTAAAAAAATATTCAGATGTCCTTCAGAAAAATATTAAAAAGCAAATCTTGGTGAGGGGCTTTGAAAGTGCTTGAGAGAATATTTTTTATAAAATTCTCAAGAACAAAATGATAAAACCCACATTTGTAGCCTTGGATGTCCTTGGGATAATATTCTCAAATTTGAATTGAAATATGACCTTCAGCAAAATATTAAAAAGAAAATCGTGGTGAGGGTCTTTGAAAGTCCTTGAAAGAATATTTTTATAAAATTCTCACTGAAATATTGAAAAAAATATGCAGGATATATGCATACTTTTAGCAAAATATTGGAAACCAAGCTTTGAAAGTCCTTGAGAGAATATTTTTATGATATTCTCAAGAAAATATTGAAAAAATCCCACGTTTGTAGCCTTGGATGTTCTTAGGATAATATTCTCAAATTTGAATTGAACCAAATATTCCGATGTCCTTCAGCAAAATATTAAAAATAAATTCTCAAGAAAATATCGAAAAAAAAAAACACATATGTCCTTGTGACTATATTCTCAAATAATTCTCAATTGAGTCCTTCAGATTTTTTCTTCAAATTTTTAATCCCCAAATAAAAATATTCAAAAATTTCCAATAATTTCGAGTTTTCTAAAAAATAATATCCATTTTATTTATCATTATATACAAATTTATGTGTTTTTTTTTTTCTTCCAAGGAAAAAAAATATAATGAATATCACAACTCAATGGTCCTTCGAATCCACCTCGCACGCCTGCCATTCGTCGTACCATCAGCCATCAGCAAGGATTTCGAAACAATTTAATGTTTTCCCTCCTCCTTTGGTGGATGGGCCTTAATGTATTCGATGGCCTTCAAAATGTAATCGGGAATTGGTGGTGGGGTGGGTATCCAGGCACCCTCGGGATGATAGCCATTTTCATCGGCAACATAGGTCACCTTGACGTGTTCTCCCTCGGGAGTAAGGTACTCGTAGGAGCCATGCATGTTGCCATGCTCATCGCCGGCGGCTTCTTCGCGAATGTAATTGGATGTTTCCAGGGCGTATTCAAAACCATCGGCACGGACATCGGAATGCATGTTCTTCACCTCGGCATGGACATCATCGGCGGCAACCGCGGCGGCGGTGGCATAGGCTACCAGGGTGGCAAGGATGAGCTGTAATTTTTGCAAAAAAAAAAAAAAAAAAAAAAAAAAAAAAAACAAAAATACATTAGACCAGTGATTATGGCGATGATCCTGGCAAAGCCTTTTTCAATTACACTGAGGCTGCGGGAGGACTTACGAATTTCAACATTCTGCTTTGTTTGTGGAAAGTTTATCAATTAATTGATTCAATTGCTAGACTGTGCCTAGGCAGAGCTTCCAATTAGCTATTTATATGATTGGCATTGGAATTGGGAAGCAGGCTTAAGCTTCTTTGTTTTTTCTTTAAGAAATTTCGAAATTTGCAAAAAAAAAAAAAAAAAAAAAAAACAAATACTTGCAGGCCTTGTATTTTCGGTATGGATAGATATTGGGTTTGGGAATTTATGGGACAGTCAAACCCAGGTATATCAGCCAATTTTTTCAGAATTGTAAAATTAAAATAAATTTCAAATATTTCTCCTTTCAAAATTGCCGTAATAAAATAATTACGAAATAATGAAATTTCCGAACATATGGCTAGCAAAATTCATTTTAACCTGGTTTCACTGTCCCTGCTAATGACAAATAATTGCATAATAATTTGCTGTGCAAACATTATTATTGTCCAAATCGAATAATTCCAAATCGAATAAAGAAATCTTGCAATTACGCCTCGTTATTTGGTAATTTTGAATTGGGCAAGTTGCAGGTATTTCGAACCGGTTTCAATTTCTCCAGAATTTTTTTGAGTCATCCCAAGCCAGTCTCAGATTACCGATCTTCTTCAAGGTTTATTTTTATATAATATTTACAGCCAAAACGTGTTCATAACGGTATTGGCAATTAAACCGTTAAACCAAAAGTGAATTACAATTTTTGAAATGGGTTGTGGAGGGAACCGGATAAAAATGGATGTGATGTGAGAAATTTTTCTCAGGGATTTCCAAAAAATACACACACACAAACGTGGGTTTTTTGATATGATTTTCTCAGGGATCTTCGAGTCCTGTCATCTTTTGAATATATTTTCACAAGGATTTTCAAGGACATACACGATAATTTTGTAAAAATATTTTCTAAAGGATTTCCGAGGCTACAAACCTAGATTTAGAAAATACTCATTGATTTCCAAGACTTTAAACGTATTTTTGTTTAAATATAGTCTCAAGGATTTCCAAGGACACAAACGTGGATTTGTAAAAAGATTTTCTCAAGGATCTCCAAGGCTTAACAGGTGGATATTTTCTTATGGGTTTCCAAGGAATTTTTAAAAATATTTTTTCGAGGATTACCACGGTAGAAACGTGGATTTTTTTAAAAGGAGTTTTAAAAATATTTTCTCAAGGATCTCCAAAGCTGCACAGGTGGATATTTTTCTCAAGGGTTTCCAAGGAATTTTTAAAAATATTTTCTCGAGCATTACCACGGCTACAAACGTGGATTTTTTGAAAAGGATTTTTAAAAATATTTTCTTAAGGATTTTTAAAAATTTTTTCTCAGGGACTTTCCATATTTTTGTTGATATATCTTCAAGGATTCCCAAGAACACAAACGTAGTTTTTTATTTAAATTTTCTCAAGGATTTCTACAACTACAAACGAGGATGTTTGAAATATATTCTCTCAAGGATTTTCGAAGGACACAAACGTGGATTTTTCAGAAATATTTTCTCAAGGATTTTTAAAGCTACAAACGAGGATATATTACAAATATTTTCTCAAAGATTTTCAAAGGACACCAATGTGGATTTTTCAGAAATATTTTCTCAAGGATTTCTAAAGATTTTTTTAAAATATTTCTAAGAATTTTTAAAAAATATTTTCTCAAGGATTTTCTAGAAATTTTTCGAACGATTTTCTAGGACACGAAATTGGATGTTTTAAAAATATTTTCTGAAGGATTTCCAATGGTTAACAAAGATATTTGCTCAAGGATTTCGAAGAGTTTTGGAAGATATTTTCTCAAGGATTTTCAAAGCTACAAACGAGGATATTTTAAAAATATTTTCTCAAAGATTTTCAAAGGACACAAACATGGATTTTTAAAAATATTTTCTCAACGATATCTAAGGATTTTTCAAAAATATTTCTAGGAATTTTTAAAAATATTTTCTCAAGGATTCCCTAGGACTGTTAAAATTTATTTTCTAAAGAATTTCTAAAAAAACTCAAAAGTGGATTTAAAAAAAAATATTTGCTCACAAATTTTCTAGAAATTTTTCGAAGGAATTTCTAGAACACGAAATTGGATGTTTTAAAAATATTTTCTGAAGGATTAACAAAGATATTTTCTCAAGGATTTCGAAGAGTTTCTGAAGATATTTTCTCAGGGATTTTCAATACTACAAACGCGGATTTTTTGAAGGATTTCTAATGATTTTTTTTAAAATATTTTCCCAAGGATTTACAAGGACACAAATGTGGATTTATAATTTTTTTCAAGGATTTCCAAGGATTTTTTAAATATGTTTTGTCGAGGATTTCCAAGGCTACAAACGTGGATTTTTTTTAAAATATCCTCTCAAGGATTTTTTAAAGACATTTTGTCAAGGATTTCCAGGGCTACAATCTAGGAGTTTTTAAAAATATTTTCTCAAGGATTTCCAAGGATACAAGAGTGATTTTTTTAATATTTCCTGGAGGATTTTCCAAGGACACAAACGTGGATTTATTATTCAAGATTTCCAAGGATTTTGTTAGATATTTTGTCAAGGATTTTCAACGCTACAAAAAAGGATTTTTTCGATATATTTTCTCAAGTGTTTTTTAAAAATATTTTCTCAACGATTTTTAAGGATACAATAGTGAATTTTTATAAATTTCTTCGAGGATTTTCCATGGACATGAATGTGAATTTTTTAGAAATATTTTCTAAGGAATTTCCAAGGATACAAGAGTGAATTTTTTTGATATTTCCTTGAGGTTTTTGCAAGGATACGTGCGTGGATTTAAAAAAAAAAATTTTCAAGAATTTCTAAGGTTTTTATTTTTTTTCTGAATTTTTTTAATAATAATTTCTCAAGGATTTCCAAGGATACAAGAGTGATTTTTTTAAGTCTCACTCAAGGATTTTCGAAGGACACAAAAGTGGATTTTTAAAAATATTGTTTCGAGGATTTTCGAAGGACACAAATGTGGATTTTTAAATATATTTTCTCAAGAATTGCAAAGAACACAAGCGTGGATTTTTTAAAATATTTGCTCAAGGATTTCTAAGGATTTTTTAAAATATTTTTAATGGAATTCCAAGGTTATCAACGTGGATTTTTTACAAATATTTTTTTCAAACAAAAGTAGATCTTTTTAAGAATATTTTGTTAAGGATTTTTTTTAAGAACTTTTCTGAAGGACTTACGGAGAATAAAATTTGAATTTTTAAAATATCTATATCAAGGATATCGAATTTCCTATAAATATTTTTCTAGAATCTCCAGACCACCCAAAGTGGACTTTTTAGCAAATTTTTTAAAGGACATATTTTGTGGACCGATTTTTTTTTTTGGATTATTTTTATCAAGGACATCGAATGTAGATCTTTAACAATATTTTTTTCAAAGACCTTCAGGCCACCTACCATGAAATGTACATTTTATAAGGACCTCTAGACCTCCGAGTTTCCACTTTTAATGAATAATTTCTCAAGGACTTACTATCTGAGAAACGTGGATATTGTTGGAGATTATTTTTTGCAATGATCTTCAGACCCCCAAATATTATTTGTTTGGACATTTTTTTCACAGGCCCTTGGGCACCTAAACTTCGATATTTTTTGAAAAAATTTCAAAGGACATCCGGACCACAAAACGGTGATTTTAGTAATATTTTCTCAGGGACTTCCTAGGCCACAAAAGTAGACCTTCAAACCATTTTTCTCAAGGACATTCAAGTTCCAAAAAGACTACCTTTTGAAAGATCTACAAGTTCGTAATACTTTTGAAATGCCTTGGCCGTGGATTTTTTGGAGTATTTTTCCAAGGACATTTTTCGTGGTTTTTTGTATATGTTTAAAGACCTTTTTACTGGATTTCTTGAATAATTTTTTCAAGAAACTTGGATGTGGATTTTTGGTGTATTTTTTCCAAGGACTTTGGACGTTGATTTTTTCAAAAATATTTTTAAGGACATTGGACGTTGATTTTTTTAAATACCTTTGATGTGTTTTTTTTGAATATTTATTTTTTCTACGACAGAAATGTTTTTTTTTTCTCAAACCTCAAAACGTGGACTTTTTGAAGTTATATTTAAAGGAATTTTTAGACCATCAAACTTGAATTTTCCAAGGACCTTCCGACCACATAACGTGTTTTTTTGAGAAAAATCTTGCAAGGACTATCAAATTTCTAGTATTTTTAGAAATTTATTTTTCTGAACAGGCAAACGTGCATTTTTTAAAGACCTTCAGACCTTCAGACCACCAAGCCAGAAACCAAAAATTTAATATTTAATTATTTTTTTCGGAATATGAAACATAGATTTTGTACTATTTTTGAAAATTTTTAAGGAAAGTTAGAACGACATAGATAGATAGATATTTCATCCCATATCACCTCACTTCATCAATATCGACACCACAATGACCTCTGCCGAAAATGTTTCTATACACATGTGTATATAGTTCATAAACAATAAGCTATTATAATTTAAATTAAACCATAACAAATAACTCACATATTTCTTGGCCAACAACAATAGAGCACTAGGTAGCAACAATAACAACAACAAACAAATAGAGTTGATATCAGAGTCTCATTTAAACCGGTCGCCCCATTCACCATCGTGCAAGCAAGCAAGCAAGCATCCATCCAATTATAATGAGAAATATTTAAAATTTATGCAGCGATAAAATAAAATTAATGCAATCAAACAATGAAAGTATCGAGATTTCGAATCAAAGAATCGATTTTGGATCAAAAAGAATAGCAAAAAAAAAAAAAAAAAATAATAATAAGCGAAGTGTGAAGTGGATCAGAAAAGGTCAAAGCAGAATTGAAACAGAATGTAATGAACCGAAGGGCTGTCAGAGCTATATAGGGGGAATTTTTAAATTTTTTTTGAGGGATTTTTGCGAATTTTATTCTTAATTTTTTTATTTTGGCCCAAAGCCTACTTCACAATCTAAGAATATTTCTGAGGACTATTTAGGGTCCAAAACATGGAGTTTTTGTTAAACGTGAAAAGCAAAAACAAAGATTTAAATTTTTTTCAGTTCGTGCTGAAATGTCTTTTATGAGATTTTTCATTTATGGGATTTTACATTTTTTTTAGCAAAATATCCAAATATTTTTCAATAGCGTTTTTAATTTTTTTTCTCAACGACT